GGGTAAGGTTACCAGCTTCGAAGGTAGAACAGGGAGGGGTCTCACCATCAGATTTGCTTTGGGAGAAAAAGCAAAAAATGAGTGGCCTAGTTGGAAACTCTGGGTTCGAATCCTGGAGAGAGAAAAAACAAGAGAAGCCCATTCAAGTCCTGGCCCGGCTGCTGCAGAGGAGCTGGGTCTGCTGGCAGGGTGGGGCCTCAGCTGGGAGAAGAGCCAGGTCACCTTCAAACCTGACCTTTCCCCGCTGCAGGTCAGCCACATGGGTCAGAGCTGAGATGTCAGTTTCCCAGGCATTTGGCCTCGGCCTGTCCGGGCAGGAGCAGGCCTGCAGGCTCACTGGGGTTGTAATTGGGAATCAGAGAGATAAGTGGGGGTTCCCTGGCCGGGAGGACATCCGCTATGAGTTAAGGGGGAGCCGGACGCTGTGTGGAGGTCAGTGATAGGATGGCGGGGCGAACTGAGGTCAGCGTCTGGCTTTCCAAGAACAAGGCGACCCGGGGGACATCTGTTTTCATTCACGGCCTGGAGCAGAGCCGGGCTGTGGGCTCTGACGGCTGATTGTGCAACTCGAGGGCCTTTCCAGCAGCCTTCCCCGATGACCCGGGGAGGAGGGAGCTGCAGAGAGCGGCACCTCCCCTGCGCCCCGTAGGCTCATCGGCTCAGAGAGTGCCAAGGCTTGCCTGAAGCCACACAGCAGCGCTGGACCCAGAGCTGTCTCCTCGCACAGGCACAGCAGGCACGGTGCCCAGGGCCCACAGACTTGGAGGGGCTCAGGAAAGTGTTTGCATTTCTCTTAACACAAGAAGGAAAAACATAGTTCAGCTCGTATTGTTACCAGAAAGGAGACTTGGCCCTCAGCGGGTCTGCGCAGGGCCTGTGGTAATGTGTGGGTTCTTAACTTCATGCAGGAAAACATTTCACAATGTTTTTGAGAGTGCTTTATTCAAGCGGGGGACAGGAGGACAGGGAGGGGCTGAGGACCCAAGGAGCACCGGGAGAGAGCCGGGCAGGGCTGCCCTGGCTCACTGAGAAACAAACGAACAGCCAAGGGGCCTTGGAGACAGGGTCGGGGGCTTAGCCTGCTGCCCAGTGCCCCCCTGGTTGCAAGCCTGTGCGGCCCTGTAGGGTTCAGGAGATGCATGTCTGTGGGGGCAGAAGAGGGGGAGGGAGAGGCTCAGGCTGCTCCCTGGAGGGAGATTGAGTTCAGGTCCTTTGTTTCCTTCCTGTGAGGGGTTTTAAAGGCTGGGAACTTAGGGGCGGTCTGAGGGGACATTTCAACAGGACATTCCTCAGGTGTCCCATGGGTGTCCTCTCGGTCCTGGGCTCCACGGACTGGTCGGTGCCAGGGCAGGGGGTCATAAGTTGCCATTTGGTTTTGCTGTTTTTCTTTGTTTTGTTTTTTTCTGGGCCCGGAGCTGACATACAATGGAGGCCCCGATGTCATGCCTGGGGAGGAAAGGTCAGGAGGTTCAAACCTCGTGAGCAGCGATATGCCAGGGGAGGAAAGGCCACCCTGAGGGGGAGGTCCAGCACCAGCTTTGCCCACTACTAGGCACTGGGGCTCTCCACCCTGGGGACCCTCTGTATCTGGCTGTGAATTGCTCTGCCAGTTTGCTCAGCTATCTGTCTCTGTTTCCTCACTCCACTTGCCAAGGAATTTTCCTGGCTTCTTACTATTCTGCCTCAGTATTACTTTTTTAAAAGAATCATCGGTGATGAGAGAGAATCATTGATCAGCTGCTTCCTGCACGGTCCCTACTAGGGATCGAGCCCACAATCGGGGCATGTGCCCTGACCAGGAATTGAACCCTGACCTCCTGGTTCATCGGTAGAAGCTCAAGCACTGAACTATACCGGCCAGGCTTAATTTTGTCTTTTTATCTATGAACTAGATTGATCATTTTAAAACATTGTGTAATATTTTGTCCAGGCCAGCAGAAGTACCGAGGGCCTGTACAAAGAAATGGCTCCCTCACATTCCCTCACAGTGGGGTGTTCTGCCCTGGTCTGTCAGGATCTAAAACCCCTTCTCTTTCCAGCCTGGTCCTTCAGTGCTCAGGTATGCCTCTTCCCAGGGAGACCTCTGTTGGCCCTCCTGACTAGCTCCACTCCCCCCTTATATGTCCTTGTTGGGACTCAGCTGCCCTGTGAATGCATGGTGCAATCAATGACTTTGAAACAGGTTCTGAAAGCAAAGGTCTGGGTTTGAATCCCAGCTCTGCCAGCTATCAGCTATGCAGATGGGCAGGTTGTTCATCTCTCTGACCCTCAGTTTCCCTGTCTGTGAAATAGGGTAGTAAGAGTATCTACCTAACAGAGATGTGATAGGTTAGATAAGGGGATATTTTTAAAGCACTCACAGCTGTGCCTGGCACCAAAAAAGTGCCACCTAAATGTTTATTGAACACGTTTGAAGCCCCATGAGTGCAGAGGCTGGGCCTGGTTTTGCTCTCTCTGGTATCTCCAGGCCTTGCACATAGTAGGCATTCAAATGAATGAATGAATGAATGAGTGTACTCTGGTCTTCGTTTTTAAAAATATATATATTTTATTGATTTTTTACAGAGAGGAAGGGAGAGGGATAGAGAGTTAGAAACATCGATGAGAGAGAAACATCGATCAGCTGCCTCCTGCACACCTCCTACTGGAATCCTTGACTGGAATCGAACCTGGGACCCTGCAGTCTGCAGGCCAATGGTCTATCCACAGAGCCAAACTGGTTAGGGCTGGTCCTCCTTCTTTTGTCCATATGTGTTTTTTCTGCTGTAAGTCATTCACACTTTAGTGTGAAGTATGACTCCATGCCACCCTGCTCCTTTTCTAGAGCACCGTGGGAGAAAATGATTTGCCCTCCTGGGGAAGGGGCATCAGGCCTTACGATCAGGTGGGGAGTTTCACCGGGAGAGGGGAGGGGCAGGCTTCATTCTCAGGGCCTGCAACTGGGCGCCACATCCTCTGCTCCATGGAGTGAAGCCCTAAGCTTCACTTGTGCCTTTTATGTTTTTCAAGGAGACACTTTCCTCCCCTTTGAGGGCGGGATGCCTTGGGCAGGTAGCAGCTGTCGAACCCCTGCAGGCAGGCCTCCCCAGCAGCCCCCCTCCCCCTGGCCAGCGGCCAGCCCAAGGCTTTCCCGGAGGAAACCGCGCCCACAGGTCTGCAGGAAGCCCCATTCATTCACGGGAGGACAGCCCACTACGCTTGGGATCAAGCCCAGGTTACCAGAGCTCAGAGAAAATAGGACCCTTGCTACTGGGAACGTATCGTCCTGAGGCCTGGCAGGAACCTGGGAGCAGCTGTTGGCCCTGGAATTTGGCCCTGATATCGTGCGGGGCCCCAGACCTGGGCTGCCCACTCGGCCCCCGCTGGGAACCCCCAGGCTGGCTGTCTGACCCGATCCTGCCGGTCCCTGATCAGAGGAAAGTGGCTGCTTTCCCCAGTAAACGTGTTCCGGGGAGTCCTGTGGTGTGAATGTCTCCTCTCAGAGCTTTTTCACTTTCCACATAAAACCTGTGGTGATGCTGTGTTCCTGGAGTAGTCACCCTGGCCGTGCTCAGAACTCTGAAGGCTCATTTTAATAAGTTAATGTTTGCAAGAAATGAACTGATGGGTCACTGCTTGGCACCTGGGTCCGTGTGGAACAAACACTGCTGCAGAACTGATATCTCAATTGAAGAACATTTATTGGGCACCTATTGTATTCCACGCCCCGTGCCATGCACTGAGGAAAGCCAGTGCATCTCATCAGTGATTACTGGATACTGATGCGGGCCAGGGGCTGTGGAAGGCGTGGAGGCAGACACTGAGGCACAGATACTTGACTTGTAGAGACCCCCATCTTAGAAAAGCTCAATTCTGGGGTGCATGATCTTCCTACTGCCTCTGTAACACATGACCAGGACTTAGTGTCCCCGGGGAAAGGCAGTGGCCGAAGAGCGTATCCCAGCATTGCAGACAAGCTGAGCGGGGACCTGGCCCAGGTGCATTCAAGTCGAGCTTGGGTCCCTCCCACTTCCCCTGGCGGTGTGTCATGGTGGTCAGTCGGGGCTGGGGTTGAGCCCCAGCTCTGCCATCTGCCTGACCTCAGACAAGTATTAGACCGCTGCCTCCCATCTGTGGCTTGTCATCAAAACAGTACCTGTCTTGGGGTTGCGGTGAACAGGTGATGGAATATAAGGCTTGTGAAATATTGATCCCTGCATAAAACACACACACACACACACACACACACACACACACACACACGCTGGCATTACAGCACACTGAGGGTGTATGTGGGACGCTTCACACGCAGTTTCACGGAAGTCTCCCAAGAAACACATGGTCACTGTTCACACGCCCACATGGGAGAGGACACCCAGGTTCAAGGGCATGAGTCATCTCCTCACGCCCGCGTGCTCAGCCAGCCCCCACGCAGCAATGTCTTCCAAAGAAGCTTTTCTGGGCAGGCAGAGTCTGTCAGCCCAGCTCAAAATTTGGATGAGGTGGTAGCAGCTGGAATCCCCACCCATCCTACTGGGCTGCGTTCTCTGTGTGCCGGCCCCCACCCACCCCAGCCCTCTGGCCATGGAGCCAGCATACCACCTCGGGGAGAGACCGCCCCAGACCGCAAGGAAGTGCTCATGTTCCAGAGTGACAGGGCCACTCCCAGCCACGTCTCCAAGCAAGTCAGTGCAAGTGGGGGGGTCAGAGGGTGGGAGCGGGGGAGTGTGCCTCCTCCTGCTGCTGGCTAGCTGACCGCTGCCATCGGAACTGCCTGGTTGGAGTCTCTGGGGCCAGATGTTATAGGGCAAGCTAAAAATAACCAGGCAGCAGCGGCGGGCCACCAGTGGGGGATGGGGTTGGGGGTGGGGGCATGTGCTGGGCGTGGACAAATGATCGGAGGGGGAGCTAAGAGCGTCTGGCAGACCATGCACACTTCTGCTCCCCATTCAGAGGACCCACCTGGCAGCAGGGCCCTCTTCTCTGAGCATCTGGGAAGAAGCCCCTCTTCCAGCTGCAGGATGGGCAGCAGCAGAAGGAAGGTCATCTGGGTTCTGTGCTCGCTGCTGCTGCTCCTTGAAGCCAGTTCTGCCAAGAGTATTTGGAAACGGGCACTGCACGCGAGGCTGGCTGAGAAACCCCATGTAAGTGCCTGGGTGGGGAGGCCGGGAGGAGGTGGGCCACCCCCGGACGCTGTTCGGCTGTAGGTGCTCCCCCAAAACACAGGCAGGGCAGGTGTCTTCCTGTATCTGTGAGTGTCAACGTTGGGCGGTGGGCAGATGGAACTCACGTCTTCAAAGGGCTCCTTGCCTGGAAGCAAAGAAGCGAACATCAGACGTGTGCAGGGGCCTGTGATATGCTTTTGCCTACCGAGGATACTTTCTCCTGGCAAGCAGGCCCTGGGTCCGAGGACTTAAGGCTGAGCGCTGTCTCTCAACCAATGTTTTATACAATGTACTTACGCATGCGTGCGGTTATTTACTCGTTCCTAAACGTTTACTGGAAACTGCTCTGGGCCAGGCACGGTGGGGGGTCCAGTGGGTACACGGTGGCAATGCCAGCTCCCACCCTTCAGGGCAGCAGAGACAAGTGGGGGAGGCAGTCAGGCGACAGGTGACGGCAGACCAAAGGGATGGCCTGATGTAACAAGGGACAAGAAGCACGTGCCCTGGAGCTGGGTGTCTGGGTTTGAACTCGGGCTCTGCCGCGCACCAGCTGGGTGACGTCAGGCAAATCGTTTGGCCTCTCTGAGCACCGACGATCTCAACTGCTCATTTGAAAGAGACGGAAAGATACGTTTCTTTCAGCAAATGTGTTTGCCCACCACTGTTTGCCAGGCACTGTTCTTGGCTGTGGGGACACAGACATCAGGTCCCTGTCTCCAGGAATCCACGCTGCAGTAGGAGAGGCAGAAAATAAGTGAGAAATAAAAGGAAAACCTAGTAAGTTTGGTGACAAATGCTGAGGGGGGGGATATAAAGCAGGAAGGGGACTAGGAGAGAGGGTGGGGGAGGGGAGGAAGGTGCAATCTTAGATCCTCCCCACCCCGGAGCACAGAAGCATAGAAGGTCAAGGAGATAACACCAGCGCTCAGCATAGGTGTGAGCATCAAGTGACTCAATTGCAAAACGTGTTACTTAGCACGTAGCAAGTGGTCAGTGCATGTGGGTGACATTTAATGAAATAATGGTGAAATTAGTTGATGCTTGCCTCCTCAGAGAACAGCCTAATTCTCTCTCTCTCTCTCTCTCTCTCTCTCTCTCTCTCTCTCTCTCTCTTTTTTTAATTCCTGATGCCTTGCCGGGTAGCTGTCATTAAGTTGGTGCCCAATATATTCTTGTGGGGGAAATTATGGGCAAATAGAATGGAAGCACAGGAGAACTTATGAAGCTCTGCCCCAGGAGAATCAGGGAGAATTTTTCAGGGTTGGGGGCATTCAACCTGGGGCTTTGAAGGATGAATAGGAGTTTTACAGGTAGAAACATGGGAGAAAGGCTGTTTAATGAACCTAGGTACTATGGGGTATACTAAACTATATGAAGCTAATCTCAGCCTCCAGAGCTTACATTCTATAGGCCATGCAGGAGGATACTGGGAGTGGGGAAAAAAAGTAGTAGTGGCTGAATTGAGGGTAGATGTTTGGAAGAAGAAAAGCTCATGTGAGATGGTATAGTCACAGAAGACTTCCTGGAAGAGGTGAGACCTTGGCCAGATCTTGAAGAATTATTAGGGATTTGGAGAGCCTGGCTGGCATGGCTTAGCAGTTGAGCATCGACCTATGAACCAGGAGGTCATGGTTTGATTCCCACTCAAGGCACATGCCCAAATTACAGGCTCAATTCCCAATGTGGAGCATGCAGGAGGCAGCCAATCAGTGACTCTCTCTCATCATTGATGTTTCTATTTCTCTTTCTCCCTTCCTCTCTGAAATCAATGAGAAAATATTTTTTAAAAAAAGAATTTGGAGCAAGGAAAAACAAAGAAGTTGAGAAAGGCCATTCCTGGAAGAAGATTCCATGTGGCTGAGGGTTGGGGGCAGAACTGGTGTGACGCAGAGCCCTGAGGGGCCAGTCCTTCCTACAGGAGAGGCTGTGTGTGGAAGGAGGGAGAGGAAGCCTCTCAGGTCTCACTGCTCCATGCTCTTTGCTGGCCTAAAGGATGATTGTATCCTCCTTGGTATTAGCACTTGGTACCACAGAGGGATTTCTGATACATAACCCGGTCTTACCTCCACCTAGCCGTGGGGTGTCCTAGGAGCAGACATCTCACTGGGAGGATGGCAAGTCTGGGGTGCTGAGGATGATGTGCTCAGGGGATGGGATAGTCTCTTTAAAACACAGGCCTGGCCCTGGCCAGATGACTCAGTTGGCTGGAGCATCATCGTGTACACCAAAAGGTCTCGGGTTCGATTCCCAATCAGGACACCTAGGTTGTGGGTTTGATCCCTTGTCAGGGTGTGTATGAGAGGCAACCAATTGATGTTTCTCTCTTACATCAATTCTCTCTCTCCCTCTCCCCCTCACTTTCTCCTTCTCCTTCTCTTCCTTTCTGTCTCTTTAAAAATCAATTTAAAAAAAAACCCACCCAGACTGGGGTGGGCCTCAGGCACTGAGTGAGCTGTGTCTAGCCATCATTGTTAGGAGCAAGTGCCTGATGGGTGCCCTCGCTGGGTGGGCAGTCTCCCTGGTGATCACCAGCACCAGCACCCTCCCCGCGCCCCGTGCTGAGACAGGAGAGGATGTACAGGAGCTGCCTCAGAGCAAGCCCCTGGGGAACGACAGCCTGCTGACATGTGGCTCAGAGGATGGGGAGGCTGGAAAGGGTCCTGGCCCAGGAATTCATCCACCAGCTCTGCAGCCTTGGGCTCCTCATTGCCCTCTCTGAGCCTCAAGCTGTTGCCTGGGAAACGAAGGCAGAGGACCAGATGGCTTCCAGGACTCTTTTCTTTCCGATTTTAACTCCCAGGCAAATGGTCAGCAGGGACGTTAAGAGTCCTAGGAAGCAGACCCCACACACTCAGAGACAGGACTTTCCCATGTGGCCCCTTCTGCCCCCACCCCAAGCTGAGTCAGACCTTCAGCCCTGAGGGCAGGTCAAGGTGGGGGGACAAGGCCAGAGGTCCAGTAGCACGCTGAAGCCAGGTTGGACGCACGTGAAGAGTTAACCAGAGCCCTTACTAAAGATTAAATCATGCGATTTAAAGCGTAAAAAGGAAGGAAGCACTCGTGAGAAATGAATCACTTCCTACGTATTCCTCTACATCTCACGAGTCCCTCTGCTCTCAAGCTTGCTAATGTGGATGGTATCCGTATGGGGGAATAGTAGGTTGTGGGGAACTATTGCTTCTCCTCATGCAGCCCCTTCCACAGGTGGCTAAAGCCAGCCACGGTGGGAGTTTCAGTCTAATGACCAACCAACTGTTGGCCGTCTGCCCCCTGCCGCAGGCACCTCTCTCACCTCCTCAAAGCCCTGCCCTGTGGCAGAGTGGGCAATGGGCCCAAGGAATTTCCTGGACACAGTGTACGCTACAGCCCGGTGCTCAGTGCTGGAGAGGACGGCATGCCTTCTGCTCCTACAGGACCCCGTGGAGGCCTCTCCCTCCGGGCCTCAGTTTCCTCTTCTGCAGCACTGGAGCGCCTGCTGTGCGGTCCAGTGAGAAGACCATGGGGAGCTCTGAGCTCCGGGCCTGGCAAAGAGCCACCCTCTCCACATCTGCACTACTCAAAACAAAACAAAACAAAACAAAACAAAACAAAACAAAACAAAACAAAACAAAACAAAACGCAGAACCAAATGTTTATGAGGCTAGATAAGACAGAGTGGAATGTTTGTAAGTGGCCTTTTCTGGGGGCTCAGGGTCAGTTCTGGGGAGCTGGTGTCCAGAGCTTCTTTCCTGGCATTTAATGAAACTCATAAGAGCATTTCCTGTGCATCAGGCCAGGCGCTGGCCATGCATTAACTCGCAGGGTCCTCTTGATGCATCGCATCTGCCAGGTGGGGCCCATTGCCGCTGCCACGTCAGCCTGCAGATGGGGCAGCCCAAGGATCCCAGCTTGTCGCTGTGCTGTGGCTCTGTTTTGCCTCTAAGCTCCCATCCAGGGCAGCAGCAAGCAGCCATGCAGCGTGCACCCTGCCCAGAGTGCCTGCCCAGCAGAGGGGACAGTGAGGGGCTGCAGCAGCCAGGAGCAAGGGGACCTCTTTGTCATGCATCCTGCTCCCAGGGTGTCTGCCCTCTGCACTTAGTCCCACCCCCCACCCCCCCTGGGAGCTGTAAAGTGGTTTGCGAGAGGGGGTGTTCCAGGCAGGCGTCTCCCCTGATAAAGATCCACCTTTACCTGAACGGGCCTGTCTATTGCCTTTTTGCATCCACAATAACTGTCTTTTGGGGAAGAGCACAAAAGCCCTGTAGGACCCAGCAGCTCCTGCGTGTCCCTCAGGCTCCCAAGCTGGTCCTTCTCTCCCGGGTGGCTCGGTTTAGTTTTCAGGAACCACTTTGGCAGATGACCAAGGAAAACAACCACTTTGCTTTATCCGTGTGACCTTTTGTTTGGTATTTGTCACTTGTCCCAGAGCCGCATCATCGGGTTCAGCTCAGCTCTCCTTGTTCCCAGCCCCGGGCCCGGCATGGGAACTATGAAGTTCCCATTATAAGGATGAATAAATTACATGAAAACCTTCCAGAACAGGATAGAGGGGGTGGAAAGTTCTAGAAGACGTCCAGGTGCACAGCAGTGCTCAGCGGACACCCAAGGATTGGTGGAGGTTGCAGTCTTGCTCTCAGCCTGCACGAACTGGGCTTGTCCCCAGTGTGAGGTCCCCGTTTTCGGGGCACCTCTCCCAGGAAGTCCCGTTAGCCGTGCACCAAACCCTGCTCTCAGAGCCCAGTGCGGAGGTGCCAGGGCAGCCAGAAATGGCATTCGCCCGTGCACCGGGAACCCTATGTCCTCTGTTCTGGGGAGAGACTTATTTTTAGCTCTTTGACGTCCGAATTCCTAAGGAAAAGCGAATAATGCTCAGAGGAACATTGGCTTTCTTCCTGTACCACACAAACGAGTCCTGGGGTGCACTTTTATTGGCCCGACCGTTAAGTTGCTGGAACATTCCAACGAAAGGGAAAGCTCTTGCTAATGGAATGAGTGGGGTG